GGTGACTGTAAAGATGAAGACCATGATGACGATGACTATGGTGACTGTAAAGATGAAGACCATGATGACGATGACTATGGTGACTGTAAAGATGAAGACCATGACGACGATGACTATGGTGACTGTAAAGATGAAGACCATGACGACGATGACTGGTGACTGTAAAGATGAAGACCATGACGACGATGACTATGGTGACTGTAAAGATGAAGACGATGACGAAGATGACAATGGTGACTGTAAAGATGAAGACTATGATGAAGATGACTATGGTGACTGTAAAGATGAAGACGATGATGAAGATGACTATGGTGACTGTAAAGATGAAGACCATGATGAAGATGACTATGGTGACTGTAAAGATGAAGACCATGATGACGATGACTATGGTGACTCTAAAGATGAAGACCATGATGATGACGATGACTATGGTGACTGTAAAGATGAAGACCATGATGACGATGACTATGGTGACTGAAGATGATGATGACGATGACTATGGTGACTAAAGAAGAAGATGATGATGATGAGTATCGTGACTGTAAAGATGAAGACCATGATGACGATGACTATGGTGACTGTAAAGATGAAGACCATGATGACGATGACTATGGTGACTAAAGATGAAGATGATGACGAAGATGACTATGGTGACTGTAAAGATGAAGACCATGATGACGATGACTACGGTGACTAAAGATGAAGATGATGACTACGACAACAAATGTGATGACCACTGTGATTATGACGTCCGTAACGATGACAACGTTGACGACAACAATGATGAAGACGACGACGACGACAACAGCAAACCTGATGAAGGTGGTCATGATGATGATGAAGATGATGTGTGTCAGCGAGCGCCTGGAGAAGGAGAGGGAGATCCTGGAGGAGCGTGCTGACAGGAGGGTGGAGATCCTGAAGAACCTGATCGATCAGCCCAGGGACCTGTCGGCCGTCAGCACCAACAGGAACCAGGTGAGAAACCGGACCGAGAACAGTTCTGGTTCTGGAGCTGGCTTGGTTCAGTCGGACCGGAGGATCTGAGAGCAGCACGACGGGAAACATTGGACTGTGGCTGAACACTGATCAGGGTCTGTTGTCAGGAGGAGCACACTGGTCTGGAGGGAATGATCAGCTTCATCACTGAAGACCTGCAGAAGATCAGAGAGGACGCTCAGAGTGTCCACCAGTGTCTGACTGGACACACTCACAACGGTACAGGGCTGCAGGAACACACACAACAAGAGCACGCACAACAAGAGCACGCACACAACAAGAGCACGCACAACAAG